TGTGACTTTACACTGATTACAGTAATACCAGTACAAACAAACACATGTTTACTGTGAGGGAAAATGGCTTACAAAGTAAATGCGTCTGGCCGTTCTTATCGAAACGGGATGGCTCTGTTAGACGATATGCGATCATTGATTATTGACGAAATTGTCAAGGAAGGTGGGGATAGAGTAGCTGGTTATATGCCAGTTACATACAAAGAAATTGCTAGGAGATTAAGTGTATCCCGTCAATCAGTTAAAAAAATTTGGCGATAGTTTTGCGAATCCAACGACATTTCAGTGAAATCTCGCGGAGGATCTCACAATTTCAAACTGACCCCGGACGATCTGGAACTAATTGAAACAAGACTGCTCAGGGTTCCATTTCGCTGACCCAAATTTGCGAAATCCTGCGATGCTGGTCAAGACATTTTGTCCATATTTACAATTTCCCGCGCAATTAAGTCTAATTTATTGTCTGGTAAGAAATACTCTCGCAAGAAAATATCGCACGTTGCACGGCAACGCTTTACTGCGACAAACGTGTTGTAGTTGATTATCTGAGCTCTCGAAATACGCAAGCAAGATTAAATTTTTTGATGAAGCAGGCATTAAAATACCTGATGTTGGCATTCGTCTTTACGGAAACGCACCAGTCGGTGAAAGATGTATCGATGTTGTGAAACGACAAGAATCGCACAATACCTTCTTGTATCGTTAAATGGAGTGGAATATTACAAACTAATAGACGGAGCTAGCAACACAGTACAGTTTCTATTTTTTTTCGAAGAGTCTTCGAATGCGGTTAATTTTGAAACGAGAAGACCCGCTCTAGAGGTTGGAGATACTATCGTGATGGATAACCAAGCAACCCAAGACAACATTAATGGTAGCGACAGTACAAGTACAAGTAATGCCGAATGGACTAACGAAATGAAAATTAATTTATTAAGGATTGAAGAACAGGAAAGAAGTAGAGGAAGAGGGTTCATGAAGAGAATGAAAGAAGCATGGGACTCGATCTATTTAGACAAGCCAATGAGTGCACAGTGTCTGAGGGATAATGCAGCAAGATTCCGGAAAGATAAAGCGGTAGGGAGAGAGGGATGAGAACAGAAGGATAAGAAAATTGGAAAAACATGTGAAAGAAGCGAGACAGATGGTTGCGT